CAACGCAAAATGTGACATTTTACATGTATTCACAATCTCTCACGTGTCCCTTTCATAACTCCAACACTTTAGACCGAATGCATGACACAAAAGAAGAAAAATTAATTAGTTTGATACAATGGATTTTATTACTTTTTACAATTGTACAAATAGCACATGTGCATGAGTTAAAAACCACAAGGGAAATGTAGGGTGTTAAAAAATACAAAAGAAATGTGAGACATAAAACAAAAAAGGTGTTTTGCTTACTACGAAACTGTTATTTCAGTATGTTAATGAGTCTCTTGATGAGGAACCCAGCACGGATGTTCCTTTAGCTGCTCTAGGACAGAGCGGAGCAGTGTCACTCACTGGGCGGTGTCACTCACTGAGCAGTGTCCCCAGCTCCCCAGCCCCAGGCAGGTGGCCAAGCCCTGGGAATGCGGTGCCGTGTCCGCGAGGTCCCGCGTAAACACGTGCTGGCTCAGCTGCCCTGTGCAGTCAGCAGCGGGCATCACCATGGCCAGGCGTCTTCCCCTGGGATGACTCTCAGGGAGGCTCCTCACACTTAGGGAGAGAGACAGAGGCAGGTGGGCTGCAGTATGGACACAGAAAGCCCCGCACACTTTGGCAGGTGCCTTCGCTGAGGGCGGCGGGCAGGGCGGCTCCTCCTGCGGGCTCTGGCAGGGGGCGCAGTGGCGCTTCTGTCCCCGGGTGCAGGAAGGGGCGGTGGCCTAGCACGGGCCGGCGCATGCGCAGGCTCCACCCCCACGACCTCAGCCGCCTCTGTCCCGGCTTCCCGCCACTCACAAGCCACCAACTGTGTTTCCTTCTTGGTTGAACAATTGAACCGAGTGGCTGCCACTACAGTTCATGTGTCTGCCTCTATGTACGAGGTGGAAGTGGCTCCTTTGACAGTTTGAAGGGACATGACTAGGGGCTCTGCCCGGAGCTCCCTGTACACCCGCGAATACGTGCGCAGCCTCCACGTGCGCAGCTTCCCTGGTCACCCCCATCCCCTCCAGCGACAGGCGACACGGCGCTAGACCGCCCCGCACCAGCCGGGCCCAGTTCTGCCACTTGTTTGCCATGTGACTCTGCACACGTCACATGGCCCCTCTGTGCCTCTGTGGCCTCGGAGGCATCTGCATGTGTTGTCCCTGGAACATGCACAGGTGATTCCCTGCAACTAGGACAGTGACTGGCACAGACGTCCCGCCTAAGTAAACAAATGTGATTCATCCTGTTCTAGAAATGTGGGTCTCTGAGGAATTTCTCAAATTTACAAATTTATATCTACAGACAAAATGTTAAGAAATTTACATTAATTAAACCTGACGGGTTAATTCATGTGAATAACACAAATCTGAGTACATCCCTACTTACACCCACATTCCGCGAATTTGATTCTGAATCTATTCAGAGAAAATCCTACTTTGCGGCCACAGTTTCATTTCCAAACACTTACTTTAACAGAAGTGTCGCTCAAAGCTCTAAAAGCGGCTTTTCACCGTCCTGTTTCTCTTCAGCTTCTCCCTCAGATCCTACACCAGGGGAAGAGGCAGGAGAAAAATCATGTCACTCCATGAAAGGAACAAACGTGTCATTCAGATGAGAAGACACATGCATAAAAGTTTAAATGAAAGATGCAAATGTTTAATCCTCAAGAAATTTAACAACAGCGCATTTAAAGCTTTTCTTTATTTTATATAGGAGGAAAACTTAAAAATAATCTGTCACTTGCACTAATCTGTCAACATGGCTTTCACTTGTGCACGAGTAAAAGTGTTCACACAGACCAGTAGTCGTCACCCGTGGCTGGTCCTCCTCCCCCTCTCGGCTGACAAGCATGTATGTATTGCTGAAGGGTAAATAATGCTGAGCTTTGGGACAAAGAAATTAATCGTGGTATTTTTAGAAATTGCTATGCGAGGTGAGAGAGCAGTGAGGGTTTCCTAAGGCTATGAGTGCTGTGCCTGACAGTCACCCTTGTGACACGGCCAGTGACCACTGTCTAGCAGTGCTGGGTCAAGGTCTAGTGAGCCTTATATGATTCCTACACGCGCCCCAGTCATCCCACTCTGGATTCTTTCCTTAGGAACCATCCCTGAAGAAATAATACTTATGATTCATTAGGTGGATTCTCTCTAAAAAGTAGAAAGAAAGCTAAATATCTGGAACTTTAAAAAGATGAAATAATTATTACATTTCCATGAATTAGTAAATGGATGCCTCCACTTATAATTATGTTTGCAGGTAGTTTATAACAACACAGAAAGTGCACCTGCCATAAGGTAAATGCAAATACGTAGTGAATAAAACTTTATGTTCCGCAAGATCATGATAAAATTTACAAGCCAAATGTATACATGCAAATGAGAAAGAACGAGAAGAAAATAACCATGTAACTTTTATATATATTTCTGGATATTCCAAATTTGCTATAAGGTACTTTAATTGACTTTATAATTTTTACATTTTAGTTTTTCAAAGCACAATATAAGTAATATAGGCAGGATGGGCACAATGATGTAAAATTACACACACACACACACACACACACACACACCTAGAAGGAAACAAACTACACTGTCAACACAATATTGCCCAATAGTTTGAAGGACGGGTGATTTTAATCTGTTTGTTCCATCTTTTTATAAGAAGCATGTGTTACTTTCACAGCCAGGGGAGGGAAATAAAAAGTGAGCTGTGAGAAGACTGAGGAGGCAGGTTAGGGATTTAATAAATTCACCCATAAAAGACGCAGCCTGCCTCAACTGCTGCTTTGCTCTTGTTAGATACACTTTAAGGAGGACATTTTTATCTTATGAGCATGTCTGCCTGGATCACAGCCAAGAACACATCTGGTAAAGGAGGAAGAAGAGCTGAGACTCCTTCCTAAGAATCTTAAGAAAAGACTGTTCCTCATCTCAGCCTCATAAATGTCACACAGTCCAGGTTGAATTTGTGGTGAAATAAATACAGAAGGGCGCAGTGTAGGAAGAATTTGCTTTCCAGACTATTAAGCTGCTGCAAGTCACAGAGATGTGGGTGGCTGAACCGCTTTGTTAACGTAGAAAGAGTCTGGGGAGGACGGTCACAGCAAGCCTTCCTGCTCCCAGGCTCACTTTCCACCTGCCAGGCCAATGGCATTTGAGCCACAATGAATGGTCGTGTCTTGGAATTATGTGGGAATCCTGAATAAAGCTAAATTCATTTTTTTAAAGCTAAATTCTTAATACAAACATAACAACATGCATTCCTTACATACTTTAAAAGGGACTTTCGGCTATGGTCTAGAGAGGAGGTCAATAAAGCCTCTCCCTAAAAAGCATTCATAAAACTTGGCAAAATGGACAAAGCTAGGCATTTCACCTCTCTGGATGTGACCAAAGGGAGACTACAAGGGGAGCAGTGTTTATGTTTGAAAAACTGCAGAATGCAGGGACCCACATGGTGCTCCTGCCTGGAGCTGCTCCTGCTCCTCCCCCACCTCCCACCTCCCAGCTCCATGGCCTGCAGGTTCTCCAGGGGTGGGGCACATTCAGGTGAGAAGAAGAGCCAGCTGCTCTGCTGGACTGAGTTTGTGGTCATTGCTGCAGCAAGCATTTGCCTGGCTGAGGCTGAGGGCATGCACAGAGGAGAACCAGGAAAGCCCAAGCTGGCCAAACATGCTGAGCTGTTAGCACGAGCAGAGAGGGTTTGAAAGGACACAGCCAAAAGTAAAAGCAAGGGAAGACCTGAAAATGGCCTGACTATGAATGTGTTACTCAGCCCATGTACATATCCCCTAGGCACAGGATGGAAGCCTTAATCCAGTGTTTCAGTGCAACCTCTGTGCAATCACTGGCTACCACTAAGCTCTGTAGGCAGAAGTTGACTTGTATGAAGCTAGGCTTAGAAAGAAAAGCAAGACTTAAAAAGAAAAACCAATGAAACAAAAAACTGAGAGAAGACAGAAGCAGCCACACATCCCAGGGAGTCTAGATTTTGCAGATGTAGCACGATTTATTTAACAAATAAACAATAGCAACAATAGTAACCTTTTGAGAAAAAAAATTAGAATCCAGAGTTGCTCCAATATAGTTTCAGCAAAATACTCTCCAACGAAAAATATGACATGCAAAGGAAAGTGTGACCATTCTCATCAAACAACAACAACTACAAACAGTCAAAACAATCTGTCTCCAAATATTGTATTTAGCAGACAAAAACATCAAAGCAACTATTATAAATATGTTCAAAGAACTATAGTAAGCCAATTTTTAAAATTTAAGGTAAATATGACAAAAATAAATCAATAAATACAGATTCTCAAAAGGGAAACAGAAATTACAAAAGAACAGAAATTTAAAAAAAGGAATTCTGGATTAGAAAAGCATAAGTATAATGAAATATTCCCTAGAGGGGATCAGAAAATATTCAAGATGGCAAAAGAAAAAAATCCACAAAGTTGAAGACAGATTGATAGCAATTATCCAATCTGAAAAACAGAGAGAAAGAGACAGAAGAAAAATTGATTAGAGCCCAGAGACCTGTGAGATAACATCAAGCATAACAACATACACATAATGATAGTCCCAGAAGTAGGCAAGAGAAAAGAGTCAGGACAATGTTTAAGAAATTATGGCCCAAATTCCCCAAATTTGTTGAGAAATATCAATCTCCACATTTAATGAGCTGAATGAACACAGACTGGGATATAAAAAAAGAGATCCAAATGTACATCATCAATAATCTGCTAAAAGCCAAGGAATGCACGACAATGAAAACATCAAAACTCATGAGATGTCACTAAAGCGAAGCCTAGAAGAAAACATATGGCTTTAAATGAATCTATCAGCCAAGATGAAAAGTCTCAAATTGATAATGTATGGGCACCTTAAGAAAGTAGAAAAAGAAGAGCAAGCTAAACCCAATATAAACAGAATAAAGTAAGGAAGAGTTGACTTGGCACACGGATGGTCAACTGATTTTTGAAGAATGTGCCAAAGTCATTTCAATGGGGGAAAGGTTGTGTTTTCAACAGCTGGTGCTGGGACAACTGGATATCCAAAAGCAAGAGAATGAATGTGACTTGTGTGTCAAAAGACGGTATGAAGAGGTGAAAAGATGAACTGGGAGGAAATAATTGCAAACCATATATCTGATAAAGAACTTTTTTCTAGAATGTATAATGAACACGTTCTACTTAATAAACAACAAAAGAAAACAACTAAAAAAAAATGGCAAATGATGAAATAGACTTGTCTCCAAGGAAGACATATGAACGTAACGGGAACATAAAAAAAATCTGTCATTAGGGACATACAAATTAAAACGACAATGAGATACCACTTGAAACCCGTGAGACTGGCTCGATATAATAAAAAATATTGAAAATTCCAACCGTTGGTGAGTATATGAAGAGACTGAGACCCTTATATGTTGTTGGACAGAATGTAAAGTACACGTTGAGTATCCCTTATCCAAAATGTGTGGGACCAGAAGTATTTCAGATTTTGGATCTCCTTGGACTTTGGAATATTTGCAGAATACATGCCGGTGGAACATTCCTCATCTGAAAACATGAAATCCAAAATGCTCCAGTGAGTATTTCTTTGAAGCATCATGTCAGTACTCAAAAAGTCTCAAATTTTGGAGTGTTTCAAATTTTGGATTTTTGGATTGGTGATTTCCTAAAAAATTAAACAAGAACTTGCCATATGACTCAGCAAATCCTCTCTCAGAAATCTATCCAAGAAGAACAAAAAGAAACTTCCACACAACGTATGTAAATGTTCATAGCTGGACCATTCACAATAGCCAAAAACTGGAAACGATCCAAATGTCCATCAGATGGTGAACAGATGAACAAAGTGTTGCAGATCCACACAGTGGAGTAGTATCCAGCGTAGAAGGGACAAAGTACTGATACCTCGTACGGCATGGCTGGTCCTCAAAAAGCTGATGCTAAACAAAAGAAGGTGAATGCGAAACACTCCACATCATATGACTAGATTTATATTAAACATCCAGAAAAGGTAAAGTTATCAACATAGAAAGCAGTTTAGTGGTTACTCAGGACTAGCAGAGATTCACTGCAAATGGGCATGAAAGAAGTTCCTTGTGTGATGAAAATGTTCTAAAATTATGTTGTGATGTTAGATGAAAAATTATTACAAAAAATTATGCAACAATACATCCATGATAGATTAATTTTATGGCATGGAAATTATACCTCACTAAAGCTTTTTTGAAAAGGGAATGTTACTCAATATCCCTGGTAATGATTTTTCAAAACTTCTCAAAATTTTAATTAAAAGATGGGAAAAACTGCGTTTCAAATCTATTCACTCAGAAAGGGTGGTCACATGATTGATCGTCTCAAGAAGAACACTATGGAGAGATGACAGGGTCAATAATAACAAGTACACGGGGCAGTGGGAACAGGCACATTAAATTAGAATTTTAATGCTTCACCCAGACTTGCTTAGAACAGAAGACATTATGCAGCCGAGCTGCTCCTCACTGTCAGTCAGTCTTGCCCTGATGTGCGAGGTGAAGAATTACACTGTCCTCACGTCGTAGTGGGTCACATATAACAGCTTCAACCCAGTCATCTGAGGAAGGATCGTGCTTCCTTGGATGTGGTCAGATCAACAAGGAAGTCCACAAACTACCTTTATATCCTTTAAAAGGACATCTAATAAAATGTGTTCATTTCCCAAGTCCTTGTGATACAAAAATTCAAGTTGTTTCTTCACAAGGAAAAATGCTAACATTTTTATTTATGGTGCTTCCTATTTATCTCGTCTTTTCATCCACTCACTCAACAGTTATAAATCTAATATGTGCTAGGTATTGTATTTGGTGCCAGGAGAAAAAGACAAAAAGGCAAGTTGGGC